CGAGTGGAAGTTAATGTTAAGACTAATGTTAAGACTAATTTTGTTTCTGACAACGGGCCCCTGGCTGTGAGTTGTGGTACTACCACCGCTATCGTCATCATCGTCGCCGCTCTCCTTCCGTCATCACGTAGGCAGATGCGCACCTCCCGGCGGAATTGTTGCTGGAAATTAATGCAGAGCGCTCGCGGGAGGTATTATCACGTGACACATTCGCAGGTGTGTGCGATGAAGACAGTTAAGGTACCACAATGGGTAATCATTTTCCATAAGCGGCCATACTTACGAAAAAATTCCCATAAATCAGCAGAAGTTTTTTTTGCAAATAATAATGTCATCGTTTGAATCCAAGTCGCAAGTGACACCATATATGTTATTAACAAAAAAATTCTTCCATAATTTCTCTTGTAAACAAACTTTTGCCAGCACACACTAGAAATGGCCAATTTACAATGTGAATCTGCACAAAAAGTAGGCTTTCTTTAAAAATTCCTGGACCGCCCTAGCAACGCACCTCGGACGAGCCGTTTACACTGTCGGATTCAGAAAAGATTCTAGTTTCTGAAATTAACAATTGCAAAGAGTTCTAACCCGTTCTAATAAAAAAATAAAAAATTCAAGCGCACGCAGACACTTAAATACGATCTCATTTTGACCCTGTTCCAGCGCTCAATGGTGGAAGTCCCACCGTGGTACTTTAAGCGCTGCTTTTCCCGTTCACTGTAAAAATGGCAGCTATGAAAAAATGGCGGCGGTCATGTTTAGTGGGTAATTCCGAGAGCGTGTATTTAATCGCATTAATATAATCAGTCCACATATCGCGCCACTATAGTTATTACACCCGCGAATTGTTAGCTCTGCACCGAATGTTGCTCTATTATTTATTCAATCATATGTCTGATAATTTATTTAAATATTACTTCGCATTTTTTCCCGCCGTATAAAATGTATATGGGCGATCTATTTTTATACGGGTAAAGCGGTTATATGGTCTACACAGCCGTAGACGGTATCGTTGTGTCATGGTCTGGCCGCGTTACAACGAGTCGGTTACGATCGGACGCGCGCGTGACGTTGCCCCGTGACTGTCGGCAGACGATGGTGCTGGGATGGGAAAACTCGTGTGAGCAGGCTGTGTATGTTGTCTGTGTACGGACGGGCGAGGCAAGCACGGCTGCCGTTTTTAGTAGTCCGCGGGGACGGCGACGGGTTTCCATTTTATATACCAAAGCATATCATCTGCTCTCCACTCACACACGCTCGCCATTAGCTACCGCGCATGCGCTGTAGCCAGGGGACAACACACCCGGCATCTGGAAAGAGAAGGGGAAGAGCGGGACTGAAAGAGAGGGAAAGCGAGGGGAGAGAGAAATAGAGAGAAGAAGTGAGAGAGTGTTTCTTTTTCATTATATGTTTTTACGGCGCAAAGTGAATTCTTCAATCAAGATGGCCGCTCGCGAATAGTTAGGCCTACGTGCATGCATATTAAGTGTGATCATCGATTTTACTCGGGCTATAAAAGAGGGTTTATTGTGTTCGTTCGAGGAAATGAAAGTGAATCATTAGATATTTTATGCTGTTATTTGCACGCCATACGCAACATTATATAGCGATTTAGCCATGAAAGATAATGAGTATTTCTGGGGAATTAAATCAATAGGAAATAAAAGAAATTTCGTAATTTTCGTTTTCCCCAGCTGGGCCGCTCCGTGTATATAGTCATCCATTGCAATTCTCGTGTATAAATTCTATGCTACATCTCAAATACGCCACATCGATAAAATTTCGTTTAGTTGTTTAAAAATGTTTTTTTTATCACGTTCGCACATTATTGTTTACATTGCTTTCCTTCTATTAAAAACCTTTTAGTTAATTTATCTCTCTTTATCTGCTTACAGAAGTCCTACAGACGACGGAAGTAAAATCCCTGGCGCGTGAACACGTGATCTGGCAGGAAAACTTGCGGCTCTTTGGACGAACGTGATTGGAGCAGCCGACCACGTGACGTCATCTCTCATCTCTCCCACACTCACGCTCTGGCTTGTCATAGTTGGAACCAAAACGATTCGACCTATTTCGTTGTTGTTATAAGACAGAGGGAAACGATAAACATATGAAAAGATCACGAATGACAGATATAGGATAGTGGTAACTTTTGGAGGGGGAAAAATGCCCGGCGGTCGGTAACAAATTGTAGTTTTATATAACTGTGGCGAGTAAAGGCTTAGTGAGAAAGAAATCCACTCTTGTTTGTACACCGACAACGCGTCGCACGAGAACACGCGAGAACGTACAATTTAGAATGTGTCGCGGATTAATCTCTCACTTGCTTCATAACTGACGATCTCACTCTCACTTTCATTCTCACTCACTCCGCAACCCGCGGCATTGTACACGCAGACGCCGTGGCCGCCATCTTGGCAACATGACGTGGGCGGCGTGTGAGCGTCGGTACTACGTAACGTATATACGCGCCTGCGGCCGTAGATGTATAGTTTTACTTGTTGTACCACTATTCGGCTTAGAGCACTAGCCTCATTTTCACTATATGCGTTTCAGTCTATGTAAAATAAAAACGTGTAGGTTAATGGCGAGAGTTAATACTGTGTCCCTCGAAGAGAGAGAGATGCCAAGATAAAACAAGTCTGGTGAGGAAATCCGGCATGTCGCTCAGCGTAGGCTGCGTTTCCGTCGTTTCGGTCAATGACATCATGCGTAGAAAGGACGAGCGCGCGCCGCCATCTTGCCTGAGTTATCGTTGAATGAATGTTATTCCTATTACAGAATATTTGCGACGCTAATGTTGCAGCTCGACAAATCCAACCACCTTTATGTGTTGTCAATGTAGATGTGCGGAATTTTATTTAGACTGTTCTATCGTAGATGCGCTAATAATTAATTGATTAGCTATCGATTATGCGGTCAGAGAGTGCAACAGCTATGCCTGTATCGAATACGAGACTGCGTGCGCGTGTATTTATTGATATTCATAACGTATTTTCGAGGCGGCGTTTGGCGTGACGGTAGAGTACGGACTTTCATCTTTTCTTCGTCGAGACTTATATGCAATAGGTTAGTTTTATTCTCGTCATCTATTGTTATATTAGCCGTGTGTCTGTGGACAATCTCACGCTACACTCGATGATTGTGAAGCGACGACGGATGAGACGAAAATATACATTTGTGAAATTATGAAATCCGCTAAGCAGTTTTTGTTTCTCGTAATTTCCGCCTGGGTTTCTATTGTGTCGTCTGCAGGGAGAAGATGCGCGCCTATTCGGAACTTTTCCCCCTCCTTCTCCCCCTCTCTCTCCCCCCTCTCTCTCTCTCTCTCTTTCACTCGCTCTGTCCTTCTGTCTCTCTCGCTCTGCCTCTCTCGCTGTCTCTTTACCCTCCAGCTTTATCCTTCTCTACCTCTCAGTCTCTGTCTCTTTTTCTGAGTTTGTTCTCCCTCTCATTCTCACTCTTTTACTCTCTCTCTCTCTCTCTCTCTCTCTCTCTCTCTTTCTGTCTGTCTGTCTCTCCGCCTCTCCTCTCTCGTTTCTCTCTCTCTCTCTCATCTACTCTACTACTACTCTCCCTCCCTCCCTCTCTCTCGCTCGCTCTCTCTCTCGCTATCTCTCTCGCTCTCCCTCTCTGTGTCTCTCTGTCTCTATCTCTATATCACTCTCATTCCCCCCTCTTTCTCTCTCTCTCTCTCTCTCTCTGTCTGGCTATCTCACTCTCTCCCTGTCGCTCTCGCTCTACCTCTTTCACTCTCTCTTTATCCTCTCTCTCTATTTCTCTCGATATCTCTCTATCCCCATTTGCTCTCTTTCTCATACTCACTAACTCGCTTTCAATTCTTTTGGTTTGAATCACGATTATTCAGAGCAGGCGCGGCTGCTGTCGACACGTGCAGCGAGGTGCACGTGGTGAGCGACCGACTGTGCAGTAGCGGCGGCGCTGGCAGCGCCGTGCACGCTGGCAGACGCACGCTAGGACAAACACGACTAATTACGACCCAACGTGAATCTCCTTATGCAAATTAGTTCCTCCCCATTAGCATCTGCGAATGCGGTGAGCAGCCGAGCGAGAGAGAGAGCTGTCCGCGCGATATCACAGGCGAATACGATGCGACAGACGAGATTCAAATCTCGGCGGAAGACTCTGAGAATGGGAAAAAAGTTTCTCGTTTAATCGAGGGAGCGGTAAGTCGGTCTCGGTCGCGCGCTCACTTATCGAATAATTTCGATAGGGGAACAACGGATCTATTTTGGGGATGAATCCCTGGGCATGAAGGACAGCAATCATAACAGAATTTTAATTATGCACGCATTGGCAGATATCGACATTTATTAAATTTAATGGCAAGTCACGTGATTTCTAACCTCATAACAACTGCAGTTTTTGGAAGGATTATAACGCCGGTCACGCGATTTCTTGATTTACTTATGATACGCGATTTCTTGATTTTTAAATTCATAAACATTGCAGTTTTTGAAATAGCTTATTGTTTGTAACCCGGGTCAAACTGCCGTACTGCAGCAAGGAACGACATATACGCGACGATATTCAGATTTATACAAACAGTAAAAAATTGTATGTTTGTATTAAAAATATTACACAATTATTTAAACAACACAGCATAGCGTGAGGTCGGTACACGCGCTTTCCTGCTAAATAAACGTCTGATCTCAACAATAACGGCATCGTATTTTCCATTTAATTTTTTAATAATAAACAAATATTTTAGTATATAAATATCTAAACAAATAAAACGAATGAAGACATGGTAAAATATGTAAATAATACCGAAATAATTTAATAAAAAATTATAAACACAAAAATAATGTAGTAGGCCTTACACATGGAAGACAGTAAAAAGTATATAAAACAATAATATAATAAAACGCAATAAACGGTCACACTTTTTACACACATCCCCCTTCTCCCTACACTCATCTCTCTCTCTCTCTCTCTCTCTCTCTCTCTCTCTCTCTCTCTCTCTCTCTCTCTCTCTC